GAGGGAGGGAGGGAGGGAGAGAGGGAGAGAGATTGTGTGTATGTGGCTCCAAATTTAAAATTATCCATTCGTCTCCCATACAGAGACAGAGATTTCATCTGCCTGTTAAATTCTCACTGAATTTAAATCCTCCCCTTTAAGACAATTATTGGAGCAGGAGGAGTCTTCCTTTTCAGGTTATGTGAGATGTACTGTATATTTCCTCTGCTCATAGTTTTATAATCACTTTAGTATCAGGAATGAAGATTGCTATTTATTCACTTGGCCTTTTTAAAAAGTAATAAACAAAGCGAAGCAGTAGGGGTAAGCATGCCTGTGCTCCTGCTACTCTACAATCTGGAGACCTGGCATGAGACTAGATAAAGAGTCATCTGTGATTTCCCACAATTGTTTTCATTCAAAGCTGCTTTTGGAGACCATCCCTTGGAATTGGAAGAATGATCGATGGAAAACCCAAAAGTGCTTTTCCAAAAGGCAACTGGACTTCCTTTGTTTTTCCTTGAAGACATTTCACTTCTCATCCAAGAAGCTTCTTCAGCTCTGACTGAATGGTGAATAATGGAAGGATTTCTATTCCTTGCAGTCATCTGATCATTAGCACTTCAAGGAAAAACAAAAGAAGTCCAGTTGCCTTTTGAAAACGCACCTTTGGGACAACCATGACCTGGGCGATTGAGAACCTCCATAGACGAGAGGTGGATAAGATGCATTTCTTTCTGGACATATTTGCACCAGAATTACCTCCTTTCCCAGTTGCTTTACAGTCTTCAGGAGAAAAAAAATATATGGAGTGCTACTAAGCTCCCCAATCTTCTGCCTTCAGCCTTCTTTCCAATAGTGCCCTGCACCCCAAAGAGGCCCCATGAATTTTTAGTAAAGTAAATAAATGGACAAAATTTTGGATATTGCAATTCAGTATTTATTTGGAAAGGTGCCCACCCGCTAGGAAAAAAGAACAAAAAGATGCTGGGCAGTCAAGAGGTCTTGCAGGAAGATTGAGTGAGCCAATAGAATCTTACAGCTGGTTACGCCACTTCTTGACAGCCATTTTCTGAGTGGGCAGCTTTCTCTCCCAGCAGTCCTTTTGCAAGTGTGTCCCCAACTTACTCCCATTTTCCAATCTCCCACCATATTTGCTCCCGAGCAAGCAGAGAAGTAATGGACTATACACAGTTTCCAGTAGAAAAAAATATCCAGATATAAAGGCTGAATTGCTCCTGTTCTTAAGAGTCACCCAGGAGAAAGTTTCAAACACCTTAAAGAAAACCCCTCAGATGTGCTTATTTATCTTCCTTTATTTGTTCTTCCCTCCCCCCATTGTTTTACTATGCTAAAATTCAGTCATCATTTAATTTATTTATCTTTCTGATGCAATGAGCTTTATATTTTACCTCATTGAGTATCTCACTGCTGCTTCAAACTGAAGAAACTTCACTTCTTTGAGCACGGTCAACATTTGGGACACTTTCTTTGGATCTGAGGAATTTGGAAGGCTGTCTATTTTTTTCTGTATTTCAAGTAGTTCAATTCCTAGAATCCAAAAAAAGAGCATGTGTTGGTTCCTTTGATCTTTTTTTGTAATATCACATTAAATACTTTTATCCAGTTATTACACTGCAGTTCTCTACGAGTTGTTGCTGGTTTGACTTATTCTAACTGGTGTGCTTTTCTCAGAACCTGTTGATTTGATTCAGGGGGTTCAAAAGTTCTCATCTCCTGAGACTTTCAGACAAATGTACTAATCTGCCAGCCAAACCTTGACAGCTTACTTGAATAGCTATCTCATCTAAAATGGGATATATAGTATATGCCTCCTCCACCCTTTAGAAAGATAACCTTTATTGTCATTGCCATTTTTTTACTGTGGGCACATTGGCACACATTAAAAATGAATTTTAGTTGCTTGCATTAGTGCTACTCCTCTGAGAAACATGGCTTTGCATTTGAAATCTTTAGTGGACTAAAACCGCAGTGTTCTGCAACTGTTAGTACATTCAAAAGTGTAGCTCCATTTCTGCATCCTGTGGGGCAAATCATTCTTCTAATGGAGAGAATTATTCCTACTTGCCCTATCTCCCATCTCTTCGCTCAGTCTAACATTGTGAAACAGCTGCAGTCACGTCATGGCAAAGTAGATCAACTTCTTTTCCAGCATCCACAAGAATAAACAATACTTTATCCCCAACAAGAAGAGATCATATCTCAATATTGAGCAACGGGTACTAACCGATCTGCTCAGTCCCTCCCCAGTCTGCTGTGAGATGTTCAGAAGGACACCTGTAATCGAAGCAGCCTGGTGCACTTCCTAGCTGAGCAAAACTGAAAATGTATGCAATAATGTCGTGAAAAGGCGCCACGATTTGCAATGAGTGCCGCAGGGCACTACAGCCAACCTGTGAGAAAAGAGGTTAAAGAAAAGGGCAGTCTTTCAGGAAAAAAAAAATCACAGATCATCAAGCAAATCACAAAATGAAAGCAGCCAGCTCCATCTGGTTTGACCTCTTCTACACTGATCATCCAGGAGTCCTTCCATTAGGCTGCAGCAGAGGGGGAGTAGGGAGCACAGTTGCTATAATGGCTCAGCTGGGCGAGTTGCCATTTTTGAACTGCCTGGCTGATGTGTTATGAAGGCAAACAATACTCCACTGAATTAAGTCCATTTTACATCTGATCGTTATAACTTTCAGAAGTTACATCTAGCTTTTCTTTTTGCTCTATGTCTGTCTTTTGGGACTGCAAGCCTGTCACGCTTTTATTAAATAAGTAAGCCGTTTGGTTGCATACCAGTTCGAGAACAGGCAGAGAAATGCTTTAAAGAAACTGACTGAGCAGATCAGAGTGATGCCAATTAAATTGTTCAGAAACTACTGTGATTGCTACAATAAATCCTCTCCAAACAGGTTCACTAGTGTCCTCCTGTCTTTCTATGTTTAATGCCAACAAGCAGTAGTAGTAGTAGTAGTAATAATAGTAGTAGTAGTAGTAGTAGTAGTAGTAGTAGTAATAATAATAATAATAATAATAATAATAATAATAATAAAGTTGGAAGGGACCTTGGAGGTCATCTAGTCCAATCCCCTGCTCAGGCAGGAAACCCTATACCATTTCGGACAAATGGCTGTCCAGTCTCTTCTTAAAGACTTCCAGTGTTGGAGCATTCACCGCTTCTGGAGGCAGGTTGTTCCACTGGTTAATTGTTCTAACAATTAAGTTTGCTTGAGTTGCCTACTGGTAGATGTCAACCTTACGAGGTAGATCAGATCCACAGCCAGATGAGCTAATTCTACCTTATTGTAAGCTTACATTAATAGAATCTTGCAGTCTGAAATTACATCTCTCTTCTAGGAAGGTTCTCTTCTGAGCCATGTGCCCTACCCACATTCCTACTGCAGGCTAAGCTGTTTTTATCTGATCATTCCCTCGGCTGCCTCTCTTCTCCTTGTATCTCAAGGGCAGGTCCCACTACCATTTCAGTAGTTACTGAACAGTAAGCCCAAATATTTTTTTCTGGGTGAATTGAAATTTAGTGGATGAACTTTGTATTTTACTTAAAAACAGCAGCACGCCCAATATTTAGGAGTTAACTGAGGTTATTTAAGGTTTCTACTATATTTATCTTTTCATCTTTTCTGTGACTTAGTTCCTACACTGTGCTAAACCACATGCAGGCAACCTATGGTCACAGACACAAATGAGGTCCCCAATGTCCCTTTTTGTGGCTCCAAAGCCTCTTCTGACTATGATTGCTATGCTATTTCATAAATCATGAGATAAACATGAAAATACAAATGATACAATAGATGTAAGGTAAGCCCTTAGTCCTATACATTTAAAAAACAAAACAAACCTTCAAAATGTTCTCCCAAACTGCTGCCATTCCACATCAACAATGTGATCCCAGTCTTTTTGCAGCCCTCAGTTTCTCTCAAAATATTAGGCACTGTCTTTGGCCTCCAAAAACTAATCACGCCTGCACTAAATCATAATGCAGTACTGATTGGTGAACCCTAATTTTTTTTAATGATTATCCCAGTGCATAAGAAATCAGTCAATTGTGTCCTTTTTAACGAATCATAGTTTAAACAATTATGGATCAGCATACTGGGTTAACCAAATCTCTTAGGAAACTTCATTGCATCACAGTTATTTATTATGTATGGTAAGAAGCAGTGCAATTTAGTTTCTGTAGCAATTTGAGTAATACTGCTAGATTTCTACATAGGAGAAAGGCTTGTTTAACTTGCATTCCTTCTGTCGCAGATATCACCCAACAAAGAAGCTGATAAAATTTTTGTACCTGCTATCCGCCAAAGGATAGGCCAAATTTGCCCAGAATGGAGCATCCATTAGGTTGGACTAAGTCCAAAATTTTGAGTCAGGATAGTTTTCTTAGCTTTCACAGTATCTCTGATTGTGTATGAGGGATGAGGATGATGAGAGAAAACTTTGCAAAGTATCAAATATCTTGGGTCACAACTCCTCCGTCATTTTTAAAATCACGATTCCCAATAAAATATCTTTTCCTGTGCTATTCATATTTGCACTCTTATTATTTGATCAATCTCAGATATAGGCCATTTGGCCAATAAAGAACGTTTTACAAGATTGTCAAAGCACTGACCTTCTCTGGCAACATTTTGAATGCAGCTAGAGTTTCTGAAGGATGAGGGATGAACCACAGGTTCAAGAAGGATTGCCCATCACTGGACAGCAAGGAACGAGGTCGTGGCTGGAATGACCTGATTGTTAACAGAATAAATGAATTACTTGTAGAAATAAGTCTAATGGTACACGGCACACAAGAACCACTAATTGATATTGGTTTAACCCAACTGTTACCTCGCAATGCTAATTCCATTGTCTCTGGTACGCCAATCAAATTGGTAGGGAACTCGGCAAACAAGTTACAAACCTGGGATCACTGTTAACTTTTTCTTTGGATTCTTTTTCATCTTTTTTTTCTTGTGGCAATCCTATGGTAAAGTATTTGTTTTTCACCCTGGGAAAGTCATCCAGCATTGCTTTTATACTGTTATAATAGGCAATGATCTGACTTCGAAGAGAGTACTGAGACATACGGTGATTCAACCTAAATGGGATTCAGATCTAATATCAGAAGAATGATATAGCTAATATTTAAAAAAAAACAAACCAGAGCCTTGATATTCAAATTACCAACTTCAAAAGGAAGAATTTTCAAAACTTATCAGTGCCGCTGTGAGATCATAATGCATAGGATTTTATATTTTCAGCCTTAGCAATAGGTAATGGTGGAAGAATGCAAACATTCATTAATATTTCTTATTATTTCATTGTGACGGTATCAGGTCATTACATGACTTCTACATTAGAAAATAGAATTATTTATTGTATATTTTTAATTCAACATCCTAGTCTGTGACATGCTTTTCCCCCATTTTTAAAAGAATTCAGTTCACAACACTTATAATATCAGAAGGAGCACAATACAGATCTAAATTACATGCCCACCTCCAGATATATTGGACTACACGTCCTCAAATCCCTGAATACTAATCATGTTGTTTGAGTGATACTGAATTCAACTCAATTCTGAACTCGGTGGAACCTTTCTGTTAGTTTTACCTCTGATTCAGGGGCGTGGTTTTTGGTATCAGTAGCAATGACTACATCCTGCTGAGTTTCTTTATAACAAAATCAGCACTGTAACAATTCAGACTTCAGACCTTGAATATCAAGTTTCTTCTGCCTTATATATAACACTAAGGTTGATGAATGGTTTAGTTATATAAATGCTGTATGTAGCCAATTCATATAAGACACATTGAAAGGTTCTATAAAGGATTAATTGGTGTTTTTTTTTCTTTCCTGCTTCAACTAATAACAGAATATTATGTACCAGATGTTTTAATTTGTTTCATTTTAGCGTTATATTTACTCTCTGGTTCCTTTATGGCCTCTGCTGACTAAATGTCAACACTGCACCATTTCCTACCATAACACAGACTGTGGGGAAAAACAAACATCCTATGTATGACTCTTAAGGAGAGATACTGCATATATTTCTTGCACTTGCCTGTGGCAATATTCAGCAATGACTTCTCTTTTGACTTTTTCAGCTTCATCCTAGAAGAAATGATGCCACTTGTTTGTTACTTAAATTGTACACAGTTATAATAATCATACATGAAATGTTGTAAGTGTAATACCTTGGATTCAAAAGCTAACATATACCATAGGAATGGAAAGGCACCCTTGTTTGCACAACTATTTTTTCTTATAAAAATGTTAAAAAATAATTGAAAAATATTTTTACTATAGGTTCTTTAGGTGTTATATAAAGTAACACAATAGTGGCCCTTAATTCTGATTTTCTGCTCAGCCCATTCAAGATGGTTTACGTGGTCTTGGACCCTTGAAAGCGTATTTTAAAGGAAGGCAGGGAATTGCAGTGGAAAGATTCAGGAATTCTCTTAAAATTTCTCTGATTCCGATCCCAACCTGATACATGCAGAATTACTTCAGCGTGCTGATGATTTACCTAATTTGATGCTCTAATTACTGGGATTGTAACAATAAATATACAAATGCATTGCATAAGTATAAACATTTTAAAAATATGAATAGGATTTGATCCTCATCCCCGTTCTCAGGAACATTTTTGTATAACAATTCCTCAAACAGCAAAGCAAACTTTTGAAAGGTTACCCTATCTCAGGGGTGTCGAACTCAATTTCACTGAGGGCCACATCAGCATTGTGGTTGCCCTGGGGGGGTGTGGCCAGAATTGGTGCAACCTACTGGGTGGGCGTGGATGGAGTGGGTGTGGCCTACTGGGTGGGCGTGGTCAGTTCTACATCATTCGCGTCAAGGGTGCCTATGGGGGCCTGGGCAGGAGTGGGACAGATCTGAGGGTCTCTGGCAAAAGGGGGTGGGACCGGGGCAAGTGCCAAGGCATGGTCCACTGGGGCAGGTGCCAAGATGGCCACCACAAAATTGTACATTGGTTCTCGGCTGGTCTGGGCCAGGGCCAAGGCACCGGTGGCCATTCCCTCACTGTTTCCAGGATGGCTTCATGGGCCACATGAAACCACTTCGCAGGCCGCATTCAGCCCCCGGGCCTTGTGTTTGACATATCTAAAGAACAACCACTTGGCATTTTTATGGTAAAAATTAAAGAAACTTTTTTTTCAGGTATTCATAAGACTTTACTCCTCTATTATTTCTTTCATACATACACACATTATTGTTCTTATTTGTTCTGATTACAAGACTGACTTATTTTTTAATATTTATTTATTGATATTTATTTATTGAATGTATTTATTACATGGCCACCGATCTCACAAAACCTAGATATACCTAAATATAAAATATATTTTATATTTTAAAATACGGGTAGTCCTCAACTTACAACCATTTGTTTAGCAACTAAAATTACAATGTAACTGGAAAATAAAGTGAATTATGACCAATCCTCATACTTACGACTGCAGTAACATGTCCCATGTCATATGATCAAAACCCAGATGCTTGGTGATCAGCATGTATTTACAATGGCTACAGCCTCCCAGGGTTGTGTGATTGTCATTTGTGACCTTCCCAGCCAGTTTCTGATGAGCAAAGTCAATGGGGGAAGCCAGGTTCACTTAACCCTGTGATTCTCTTAACAATTACAGTGATTTGCTTAATAACCATGGCAAATATGGTCATAAAATCAAAATTCATTATTAACTGCCTTGCTTAACAATGGAAATTCTGGCCCCACTTGTGGCTGTAAGCACTATCTGTAGGGACAAAATATTTCCAAAAATTTAAAGCCAACGTTATGATAGTAAAGTTAATGAATAGTCCTTTAAAAGTTATAATCAAATGTTGGTTAATTCCTAAATAATTTCAGATACACTTACTGGATTTTGTATTCTATTCCCCAAGATTTGTTTCTTCTGAATGAATGTATTCAGCATCAGGTCACGTGGACCCTGTTTCTCCAGCTGAATTGAAACAAAAGCTTCGGTAGATCTGGAGAATGAAAGAAAATAATAAATTACTAAGAAATAACCCTGTAATGAAAGCTGTATTCACAGTATCATTTTATTCTTTGACTGTGCCCAGGCATTACACTTTCTTGACATATAATGCTGTTGTTTTTCTGTTTATTTCTTGCTTTTATGAAGAATCCCAAACCATGCATTATATTAACAGGATGGATTAAAGTGTTAAAAATATATGTATTTAATATATGCACAAATATGTCAAACACTTGGAAGGTTTCCCATTTTCTGTGATATCAGGCTTGCTATTTATTTATTTATTTATTTATTTATTTATTTATCTATCTATTTATTTAAATTTTGTTTGTTTATTTATTTATCTCCCACCTTTATTATTTTTACAAATAACTCAACAAGGTGACGAACATATGTTGTTTTCTGAAACCCCTACGTTCTGTAATGCTGGCCTAGCAGCAGTCCTGCATTTGGGAATCTTTTCCAACTATGTCAGTGTGTTGCTAAACCAGGAACTGGAAATTCTTCATTGAAAGCACAGACTGGCCTTTAAGGCACAAAGCAGTCACACACTGAGGTATTTGAAGCAGCACTTGCTGACTTAAAATGCCAGTGGTACAAAGTAAGTTACAAATCAAAATCAGTGGCAAAGATTTACTATATTCTGGAAGACCTTCCTTCCCATTTGGAAGATCCCCCCCCCAAAAAAAAACAAGTAGAAGAGAGTTTCTTGGAAGAGCAATGGCCTTTTGGGTATCAGGTTATTTTCTCCATCTGGTATTTAAGCCCAGAAAGCATTCAGACACTAGAACAGCTGACATGTTCTTATAATTGCTCTACCTAACCCTGGCTTAAGTACCCAGATGCTCTGATATTTTTTTTATTATCATTTATATTTAAAGTCTCTCTCTCTCCATCAAGAAGAGATTTTCCCTTCATTTTATTCTACTACCATCCCGTGAAATAGGTTACACTGATAGAAAATTATGATTCCAAAGTCATCCAATGGGTTTCTGTGGCTGGTTGGGGTGGACCTGTTCTCTCCAGTCCTCATTCAGCACATTTGCCCCAACACCACGGTGTGTGTGTGTGTGTGTGTCTTTAAGCTACCTCTTTGAATTGCAACCTCCAGTTGCAAATCTCCTAAAGGAATGAGACATCAAGGCATCCTCTGCTTCACTCCCAACTGTAGAACTTCTTCCATTGGGTGAGTTGCTGCTTTGAGCTTTCACACTTAGGTGTCCTTCCTGAAATAAAAGAGCAACAGGGTCTCTTACTCAGGGAAGCCATGCTGATAACACCAGGCAAGTTGTTGCTGTTGCTGCTCAGCCACCACTGAGCAGTTCTGGAGGGCATTATGGGTAATTTAAATGGCAGATAGTCTCAGGGGCTCAAATTGTTACACTGAATATTTTTATAAAGGGGAGAGAAAGGTCAGTATAAACGGAGGCCCTTGTAAATGTCCTGGAACTCAACACATGCTCTTGAATGCTTGATACCATCATAGGGGCCCTGTTGAAGAACATTTTGACTCTGCAGTTTCAAATTCTTGTAGTTTGGCTTCTTCTATTGCTTCCGAAAGAAAAACAATAGAGAAAAATAAAAAAGGACAAGGAAGCATTAAATAGCCAGAAGGCAATATAGATATGGAGCTGAGTAACATTACTGAATGAAGGAAGTGCACATATTAAATACACTTTATTTTTTACTCAGCTGTCTAGGAAGAAAACTAATGAGATTTTTTTAGTACATGTATATTTTTAATCCTCTCCTAATTCTGAAAAAACAGGTATAATTTGAAACAATAATTGGTTAAAACAGGGCTTTTTTGTTGTAGAACGCACGGAACAGCGTTCCGGCACCTTTTTTGGGATGGAAGAACCAGTTCCTTCTAAGCTGCCAGCATGAATGCAGGTATGGCTGCAGAGCGATTTTGCGCCCCCCCAGCAACCCGATCTGGGCTCTGGAGGCCTGGAAAAGACCTTCAAATACCAGAGGTTTCAGCAATAGCCATGCTGGATGGAGAATCCTTGGAGTTCACACTGGCCCCAGATGAAAAGGCCTAGCACAGGAAGGTACCCATAACTTTATTTGTCTTTGACAACAGTCTCCTATCTGAAACAGAGATGGCCAGCAGGGCAGCTATGTCTCTAACACTTTCCCAGCAGAATGTAGCTATAAGGTCAAACAGCATGGAAGGCAGATAGCAAAGAAAGACTCACTCGTTCCTTGTTACTTTTTTGCTCCTGATTTATATATATATATATGTTTTAAAGAGCAGTGGTGGAATTTGGTCTTTGAAAGGGAGAAAGAGGGGGGAAAGTTGCCAACCTTTAAGTCTCCAGTTAGTGTGGGCTGCACTGATGGACAAAATGCAGCCTGTTGAACAGCTACAAGGAGCATGTTTTTATGTGTGACTTGGCAGGCAAGAGCGATCTGCAAGTTTTCCATTCCATAATGCTTCAGCAATAGCTAAAGGGTGAAGATAAAAAGATTAGTGGCGATTATAATGTAACGTTGCACATTTATTTCCTTTAGATCTGACAGTGAGACTATAAACTTCCTTCAGTTGTATTTGTATTTAGAAGCAGAACTGATTTTGCACTGAATACTGAAGCAACAGTATCTAATTCAGAAGATCTCATAGTCAGCCTTCACTCCAGATAACTAACTATATGTGCTGATAACATTCTTAAAATGCGTGTGTAACAATACCTAAAATTTTGTGGTTATATTTTCCCCAGATTACACACATGCAAACACGTATTGTACATAGAGAGACTTCCCAGTCTATCATGTACAGTATAGCCCTATCATTTTCCTGATAGTCTTTTGTTCAATTATCACCATGTCTGACGCTGCATAGCATTTTCAACATTAGCCAAAATTAACTACATGCTGCCATCTTCTGTGACAATAGTTTAGCACAAAACAAAACTAATCAAACGCCATAAACAAATAATAATGTTGATCAGAGGATGTCCAGTGAACATACAGAAGCAATGGTCATTTCAGCAATGATATGTGATTGATGGAGATCAGTGATTGATTTTTCCACCCCAACCTTCTGCTAGATCTGGCTCCATTCACATAGCTTATTTAACACTGATTTTTTTCTTGGAACACAAATATCTTTTTTCTGTTTTGGCCAGAGTATGTTAGGATCGGGAATCATATCCAGTTCTTCATCTTCACAAAGCTCTTTTTTTCCAGAGACTTCAGAGTGATCAAATTGTTGCATAACGTGACTTTTGGTATCGTTTTGAATTCCATTTCTTGCTTCAAGATTTGTTTAAAGTCTAGATGCTAAGATTGCAGTTACAAAATATTTATTTACTTATGGAATCCGTTATGACTCTGGGCAGAAGGACAGTCATAAACACTGCTGGTTTAGTACAAAATGAAACAAATAGGAAAGGGGCAGGAAAAGTAAAATAAATTAATATAATAGTACTGAGACGGGAATAAAAATATTTCAGTTACCTGCAGAATGCTCTCCCTCGTGCAAAAGCTAAATTTTCCAATTTGATTGTCTATATCTTGGATCTCTAACATTAAGCTGGAAGGAATGTATCTGCAAAAGAAAACAATGTCTCTAACTTTTTCTGAAATGAAAGGGCCAACCCATCTACGTTTAGAAATTACATGAAAGATTATCCTTGTCTTCATCACAAGAGATTTCAGCTTTCCTTGTTTATGAAGAACATATATTTGAATAGTATTTCTGAAGAATGTTTAAAATTAATCAGATATGCAAATATTCCCAGCCCAATATTTCATGTGTAGTTTTCAAAAGAACAAATCTGGACTGTTTCTTTCATTTTGAGATGTGAATATCTACTTATATCAATATAAAATTATTTATTTGTCAAATATATATTTCACTTTTCTAGTCCAGCTAAATTTTTACACGTTAATGCCAATTAATGTGATGTTATTAAGTAATTAGTAACCATTTAATGCAAGGAAAAGATAATAATGGAAGACTGGGTACACTCTGATCTGCTCCAAACAGCCTACTAACTCAGGGGTCCCCAATCTATAGAGGGCTGCAGCCTAGTGACCAGTAGTGGCCCGTAGCCTATTGGCCAATGGGCTCTGTGAGTGGCTGGTCAGTGTATCTGTGTGCACGCGCACAATCCCGCTCGCGTGAGCAGTGTCCACTTGTGCAAGCATCACAGGCGTTCACTGCCCCACTTGTGAAAGCAACGGGTGTTTATGAGCACATGCATGCACTCATGCATTCACCTCCACACACACACAAAACCATCCTTTCTTTTCCCCCTTCCCCTAGCTGCGGGCTACCAACCCCAAAAAGTTGGGGAAATCTGCTCTAACTCATGAAGCTGTAAAAAAAAAAAAGGCTATAGAGCCTATTGATAATAAATAAATCAGAGAAGCCCACTCTAAGATGCTGGCAGAAAATTTTTCAACTGAAATTTTCTCTCCCCTTCTCTCTTACATGGAATCCCATCAAATTTTCATAGAATCTTAGGGTTTTGCAGAACATAGTTTTAAAAGTCCTGCTCTAATTGTTCAAAACAACCTGTAGGTCAGCCAAAGGCTGTAAGGGTTCATTCATTTATTCATTCATTCATTCATTTATTCATTCATTCATCTATTCATTCATTTTATATAGCCACCCATCTCAAGTATATGATTCTGGGCAGTTCACAATTAAAAGCAATATAAAAATACCAATATGATACAACAGTTTGTTAGAGCTCTTCAACTTACAACCGTTCATTTAGTGATGACAGGGCAAGTTATAACGGCACTGAAAAAAGTGATTTATGACCAGTGTTCATATTTATGACCGTTGCAGCATCCCCATAGTCATGTGATCAGTATTTAGGTGCTTGGCAACTGGCATGTATTTATACCGGTAATAGTTGCACTGTCCCAGGGTCGTGGGTTCATAATATGTAATCTTCCCATCTTACAACAAGCAAAGTCAATGGGGGAAGCCAGATTCGCTTAATGACTGAATGATTCGCTTAAGAACTGCAGTGATTCATTTAACGACTGTGACAGAAAAGATTGTAAAATGGGGCAAAACTCACTTGAAAACTGCCTTGCTTAGCAACAGAAATGTTGGGCTCCATTTTAATAGTAAGACGAGGACTATCTGTATAGTTAGACGCACAGAAAGAAAGTATGATTGGATTCTACTCAAGAGAAATGTGTGTGGCAAGAAGTAGCTGTCCTACAAGGGTTAGAAAGGATTAAAAATGGAGGGGGAAGAGTAAGATGGCAATTATTCTACAGAAAGAATGGCAGAAGTAAAATTTCTGGTGTTTTTTTTCCACTTTTCTAATTCTTACCTTTTTCCTTTGTCTTATTTTCCTTTTCATACTTTTATTGTATCGTAACATTCTAACAAAACATTTTTAAAAAGCAGTAGCTGTTCTATATCAAGCTGCTAAGTGTATCTTCAGAAGGGAAGCAAATATTATTAAGTTTGTTGGTGATTTATTCATGTTTATATCTGCAGAAAATGTTTATAAGCCTCTGACTTACCTGTCCACATTAATGTCATGATCTTCTAGAAGTGAAGCAATGAATATTGGGGAGCGCTGGTCAGCCTTCTCTTTGTGAGTTGCACATTCAAAGTACACTGGCCTTAGGTACAGATGGAACCCATTAAAGCCCATTTCTTCTGCAAATTCTTTGTACAGTCTAAGCAGAAAAAAAATGTACATATTTGAAATAACTGCTTATAGTGGTCACTCTACTCACGTAAAACACATTTATTGCCTGTCATATATTCTTTTGAGTTTCTCACACAGCAAAAATAAATACAGTTATATAATATTCCAAGCCATAATTTCATTTTCTCCAGTGCTCAGATTATTTTGCTGGCATCTCACACAAATGAGTGCTAATAAACTATGTGCAATTTTGTCCATGATTTGATTAGTGTGATTTCTGTATCAGGGATTCTGGCTTATTTCTTTTGGATTCTTTGCATGGCTAGATTAGATTAGATTAGATTAGATTAGATTAGATTAGATTAGATAGATAGATAGATAGATAGATAGATAGATAGATAGATAGATAGATAGATAGATAGATAGATAGATAGATAGTAACCTTTATTGTTATTTTTTTACTGTGGGCATACTGGCACACATTAAAAATTAAATTCTGTTGCCTGCTCTCAAAAGTGTACACATACATAACACACATATAAACATGCTATATACATACATATGTATATACCTATACCTTTACATATAAATATTAATCACTATCCGTATTGAATATATCGCGGAAAGAGGAAGCTTGAGAGTTCACAAGATTGATACTGTATGGAACAAAACTGTGAGTGAATCTGGATGTTCTGCTTCGGATACCCAGCATGGAATTAGCATGGAATAAGCCAGAATTCTAGGTTTAGACAACATGCTGCTTATTCACTGTTAAGCCAAATTTTAGTTTGGGTTGTCGGGAAAAGATAAGTAAAAGTTTTTTGTGTATTATGTTTGTAATATTTTCTAACCAATGAACATGCCAAAGCAAAAACAGTATAATTTGATTGGTGAAACACATTTAATTATTATTGATCAATTGCATTCAACTGCAATTATCCATTATATAGGTTACAACTAAGGCTGAGATATCTGGGGCTTCCCTTAAAAATAATGGTTTTTCAACAGAGTATACTGAGAGGGCCAGGGGTCCCTCCCACCTTTCAGCTATAAATCATGGAGTCAGAAGTTATACTGGATCAGGATGGAAGAAGAGGAACAGTGATTTCAATTGAGAAGTTAATAGTCATTAAGATGCTGTCAATTGAAGAAAGCGGGGAACTATATCAGCAAAAAGATAAATATTACATTGAATATGGTTTTTGCCATTATACTTTTAAAGATTAAAATTAATAGTACAGGAAAGGCTTAGATTAAATTAAAAAAAATATCACCAAAATTTCAGTACAACTTTTGACAGTGATTTCCTCTGTGTCCCCGTTGCTAACCTGCCCAGCTGTGCCCCTTCTACTGCTGCCTCGATCAACCGATGACGGAGAGTTAGAAGTTCAAGGAGTCTTGAAAAGACATTCAGAGTAATAGTTTGCTTTTCTTTGCTTGATCTCTGTTCTTCTTCTGATGCTGATTTCAAAGCTGATGTAACAATTTCTTTTATAATAAGAGGATCCTCAACCAGAACATCTGCAAATATCTGCCATGAAAGAATAGTATTTATAAATATTTAATTCAAATAATGTCAATTGATGGTCATATTGATGTTACGATTGAGACTTTATTGTTCAAGACGTTGTTTTGTACCACGGGAATATTTAATTGAAAGATAGGAGAAGAAGGAGAAGGTGGAACGAGAACCTTCAGATGACTAAACAACAGGTAAGGATGACTGTGGGAGGACATGTTCTTTTTTACTTCTAAGCATAATCAGCAAATAGTTTCTCTTAAAGCACAAATAGTACCCTGTGCCCAGCTCACAAACAAAAATGGCTTTACTCCATTGTACCAGTGAAACACTGAAGTTAAATTCAAACAATTTTGTATCAAGATACTAGTCCTTCCTTATTAGTAATTTAATTGCATAGAATCTGTAAACAGGTCTACAAAATTATTATCTCTATTAACCCCTATCCTACATCTCTACTTAATGAGATTAGGACATTTTAGCAGCAAAAACCCATCCAAATCCTTGTATGTAGAACACAAACATACATCTCTCTGAATTTGAGTGCCATAAAAAGATTCTGGATTTTCCATGGTCATCCATCCATCCAACGAAAGTTGAAGTATTTGTTCCTCCAAATGAATGGCCTCACTGCCTGTGTTTGGCCTACAGATTTGCTGGAACTCTTGAAGGATACAATCTAGAGCTTTAGGAATTAAAGATACTAGGCCAAGAGAGGAATGGAATTCCAATAAATACATGTTCTTCAGAGCCGTACTTAGAAGGAAAAAAAGAGTTAAATGTATTATGATAGAATAGGATTATTTGAAAATGAACTAATTAAAAACTATCCCACCCAAAAAAATCCCAATAAAAATATAACCATAAATGACAAGTAATGTAAAATTCATTCCCCAAAGGAATGAGAAGGTTCAGTGGTGAAATGGATTGGAAAACAAGCATTAATTGAATGTATGATTCAATTTATGTTCTTATTTATCCATATATAAACTTAGCTGCAGTCCCTTAGCCCAGTGCACTACATATATCCGTATATACCAGAATGATGAAATAATAGTTTAACATAATTATTTTTTAAAAATACATTTATATATTTACTTATATTGTAAATACACAGTTGAAAAGATGACTTTCTTAAATCCATCCCATGAGAAAGGCGAAGAATAGAACTGAGTAAATAAAGAGTAATACATTATCACAAAATGGAAGGGAGGAATTGCCAATTTCACCACACAGCAGATAATACAACTAAAAAAAGTCACAGATTCCCTGTTTTGTTTGCAATTCTGGGTTTTATGGTTTAGGAGCCTTCCATGTTGAAACACTCCTAGAAGATGCTCCTGAGTCCAAGAACAATGATCAGATCCTGACTTTGTAAAACAACATTATAATATTTTAAATAAATATTTTATGGGATAATGAAATATTATAAATCATAATTGTGTGCATGTATACTATTAATTTAGAAATGACTCCATGCACATATATGCATGCTGAACACAGAATTAATGCCTTATTATTACTGCTAGCTCTGAAAAATGACCATTTGCAGGTGGAAGAATAGCATAAGGGAAGCTATTTTGACATACGGCTTGGCTGGTTGATTTGTTTAAATAAGAATTGCTTGAACCCAGAGGAATAAACAATGGAAATTGCTTGTGTGTCTTTCTGATTAAACAGCAATAGCAAACATGACCTCCACTATTGACATATGTGCCATATTAAAGAGATAAATGATACTCACGGGCTGTTACTGAGAGCAATTAACTGTTTTGTAACTATATATGGAGGAAAGCCAAATTCGGAGATACAACCTTTAGGACCACCACGCCAAATTTTATAATTATATTTACGCAGATTCTCTATCTGGGGGAAAAAATCAAAATAAAAAAAAATCTTGTTACATAAAATAGAGTAAATTCTGATTTTAAAAAAACTATTATATGATGACTTCAGTGGTAGAGGAAGCCTGATATAGGCAATTAAAGTGACATGTAAACTAAATTTGCTAGATTCACCAGCTTCCACCTGTTTCCTATCTCCATCCCCATTTTCAATGCTTTGCAGAAACATTACATAATCAGTGAACAGATGCTAACATCTGTATTTGTGTACAGGCAGTCAGCATGCCCCAGCACATCACTAGTTCAAATACTAACAATTGAATGTCATGCGTATAATGGAAAAGATAAAGAATTAGATCCAGAGCTATTCTGGCTACTTTGCTGCAAAATTCTACTGCATATGGTGTCAACTTACCTGTCGGTTCATAATATCTCTCACCAAGCAGAGGTGAAGCTTTAGACAAGTGCATTCATTTCTGTAAGTGTTCACAAAATACTCAAGGTGGAAATCAAATCGAGGACGTCTGTATATGATGTTAGTTATAACTTGGGCCAATGCAAATCTTTCTTCTGAATCTAACGCATGTTGGTATACTTCAAAGTAACTATCGAGAAGCTGAAAATATATTTAAAGCATACCCAAAACAAGAAACAAGAAACATTTATTTTTTCTTCATTTTGCTTTAGTTTGTTTTTGCTTTCATCGGCTAATAACATAAAACTTTCATTTGGAAGTAAATGCTTCTGTGTGTGCCGCATGTAAATTTCTGTATTCTCCAATCTGCCTTTCATATAACTAATGTCTTGTTATATCACGCCGGTTTTTCAAAAATCAAAATAAATATGTTCAGAATGATAATCCAGGTAGCTCAGTCAAATCAGAGGGACTGGCGGAGTGTGGCAAGGTGCAGGTGCTGAGGAAATAAATAAAGTCCTTGTTTTATGCCACCCAGCCTCCCATGTACCCTGTAAGCTAGACTGTTGCCCACAATAGCAATGGAAAAGGTTATAATTTCACCAAGGACAAGCAAAAAAATAAATCCCAGGCATCTTCTGTATCAAGAATGGACTTTTGGTGGTCAGCGATATAGGTAGTCCTTGACTTACAACAATTCATTTAGTGACTATTCAAAGTTACAATGGCACTGAAAAAGTGGCTTATGACCGTATTTCACTTACGACCATTCCGCCATCCCCATGGTCACATGATCAAAATTCGGATGTTTGGCAACTGACTCATATTTATGACTGTTGCAGTGTCCCGGGGTCATGTGCTCACCTATTATGACCTTCTGACAAGCGAAGTCAAGGGGGAAGCCAGATTCACTTAACAACAGTGTTACTAAACAATTGCAGTGATTCACTTAACGAATGTCTCACTTAGCCACAGAAAGTTGCTAAGGCTCAATTCTGGCAGTAAGTCGAAGACTGCCTATGATACGGTTGAAGTGACATATGAATGCACCTCATCAGATTAAACATAAGAAAGACACAAGCTGAAATAAGTGCCTCCATTTCTGGATGAAAACAGAACATGAGATTTAATGTTGTGAGCTGCCCAAAGTCATGTACTTGAGAACGGCAGCCCTATAAATCGATTTAATAAATAAACACATTGGTAAATAGGAATGACGTGTCCAGCCCAGTGCACAATCAGTTGCCCATAGGGGATCTGTCAGTCCCGCTAGGTAGACTAAACCAAGAAATCAGCTCCACAGCAAGGCTAAACTGAGATAGGTTATAATAGCAAAATCTTGCAAATCTGATTGTGCTGTACCTCCTCCTCCACCTCATAGTTCAGTTAATTAGGGAGGTATCTATTTGAGCCACTTCCCAATATTATATTTCTGTTATAACCTTAACATGTGTTTTATCCCCACCTCTACCCTGGCCACAGATCTTGCGTATCTCTGTCAAGGTCATCTTTTTTACCCTCTACAGGTTTTATGGTCCTTGATTTCTTAGAAGATCAATGACACATGAATATGCATACCTGCCACTTATTTTTTAAGAAATCTGCTTCACAAGTCCAAAGGTCAAGCAAGACTGCCGATCGATCCACTGATGTTTGTGCCCCCTTTGAATAGCTGCTGCTGGAGGAATCGGGGCCTGCTTTCTGGCCTCAGAAAGAAAAGGATAACACAAAAGACTTCAACCCAGCAATAATAAATTTAAATTTAAATTTCATCAACACTTGCAGTTAATGATGCCAAAATAAAACATAAACAGTTAATTTCCTCCATATTGTCAAGATTTTCTTGCTTCTCAGAACTGAACGGAAAATTAACAATATAGGTACACTCACTATCATTACAAAGGCATTACAAACAAATAGTGAACCCCGAATAACCAGTAGGGTTAAAGTTTCAAATAATCAGTACCTCAGGAGCAACTTCCCCAACGATTATTTCCAAACAACTATCTTAATACTATTATTAGTTTGTTATCTCTGTTTTGGGGATGGCTGCTTTTTGTGGAAGATTCTGTCCCTCAGCCGTTGATAATATCAGAGATATTTCAGGGCCTAGTTCAGTGATGGTGAACCTTTTAGAGACCAAGTGCCCAAAAACCGGCCCCTCGCTGCCACCCCCGCCTGCCCCTGCTCTGCCCCACCCCACCCCCTCTGCCCCAGCTCTGCCCCCACCCGCAGGGCCATCCACCGCCTCTACGGCCTGCCGCAGATCAACCAGGCGGCCCAGCAGTGGTATGGCAACCACGCTTTCCACCTGCGCTCTGCAGCATCAACTGCATGCGACAGGGCGCAAGGGCAGAGTCATGTCCCTGCTGCCCGGCTGCCCAGCTGCTATGTCCTTGGCTGCACTACTCTGTGCGGGTCATGCTTGAGGGTGACTCTCCTCCGGGGGGGGCTGCTGGTGAGGAGGAGGCCGTGGGGGGAGACGGGGCTGGGGTGATGGCGTGCATGCTCACAGAGAGGGCTCTGAGTGCCACCTCTGGCACCCGTGCCATAGGTTCGCCACCACTGACCTAGTTTATATAAAGGCCTTACCTTTTCCCACCTCAATGTACTGGCTCGCCACAAGCAGAAGTTGCTTTTCTGTCTCTTTCAGGTCTCGGAGGGCCACATCATACATTACCAAAGCCCCTCTCTGATCCTGCGTATGAATGTATGCCTCCTCAACACTGTAAAAATCATCATGGTTCTCCACCTCAGCAAACTCCATAAACTGCACACAGTGGACCTGTGAAGCCATAGATGTTAAAGAAAAAAAATCACAGCTGACCACTAAATCCATTACCTAATAGCTGTGCAAATGGTTTTGATCCATTTTTACCACTGGGACCTCCTCTGATCCATAATCCATCACCCTTTAAATTTAAGGAACCTCATATTCCTTATCCATTCACCTAGGTTGTAGCTAGAAGGGACAAACTGGATATCCATTCACTGACTAAGGTATATACTGAAATACTTTGAAGCGCTGATTAGTTTTTTCCACTGCCTTTCTAGCAAAAGCTGAGGTCCCCCTCACATAGGATGTGATTTGTTTGAACTGAGCTTAATGCGATATGCGCTATTTTGATTTGTAAACTAAAATTTATGTCTTAGCACCACGTCTGAACCAAGCCACTAAGTCATGTTCAACAAACCACGATTATGGATTAGTGTGATGTGCAAACTTAGTTTTAGAATGCAATCCTCGACTTAGGACCATTTGTTGAATGACCATTCAAAGTAACAAAAACATGTCTTATGACCAGCTCTGACACTTACAATTGTTGCAGTAGCCCTACGATCATGTGATCAAAATTCGGATGCTTGGCAGCTTACGTGTGTTTTAAACACTTGAAGCATCCTAGGAGCACAGGCTCACTATTTGCCACAGTCACAGAGGGTTTCCAAAAAGAAACATCAATGGGGGAAAGCAGGATTCACTTAGTGACAATGTGATTCAATTAATGATTTGCTTAACAACCATGGTAAAAAAAGGGCATAAAATCAACTGCAAGTCACCTAATGACCGCATCACTTAGCAACAGATGTTCCAGTCCCGATTGTGATTGTAAATCGAAAACTACCTGTACTTGATACGCAGCTGATCAGAACACTTAGGTTTACAGAATTAATAAACCTTCCTCAAATAAACGTAGACTTGTATGCTAATATTTTGTGCGGGGCCAGAGAACTGGAAGGTGTTTTTTTTTTCTTCCTTCATGCATTGATTTACTGTTTCTATTTTGGAACTTGCATTCTGACAGATAAGAAGTTGCAGCTCTGAGTCAAAACTAAAACACCCAGTGCAATCCTACATAATTTAGACGGCCTTGGACTTCAGGTTTAATCTTTATTACTTTGGCCAAACATTGTTATGACTAAAGCTCAGTACATTTCCTCTTGCAAACATAATGGGAATTTCCCTAAAGACAATATACTGTGCTTCCTGGGCCTAATGCTTTATTTTTAAAGATCTATGACTATGAAAATATTCTCTAATACAGTGGTTCTCAACCTTTTTAATGCCACGACCCCCAACCAGTCGTAAGTCGAGGACTAAACTGGTCGTAAGTCGAGGACTAAACCGGTCGTAAGTCGAGGACTACCCAACCGGTCATAAGTCGAGGACTTTCCCTGCCCGGGAGCGTCGTGCATGCATGGTTCCGGCCCCCTGTGCCGGCCGAGGCATAGCTGGCAAGCGGCAGAGACAGAGCAGGCCGACCACCAGCTGGCCCAGCTCAAGGGAGGTAAGGCACCTGCCAGAAAAGGGGAAAAAATGGCGGACAGCCTTGCTTGGCGACCCCCGTGAAATGGTCGATCGACCCCAAATGGTGTTGCGACCCATAGGTTGAGAACCGCTGCTCTAATACGAGGTTGCCAAAACCCCAGGCCACAGCCCACTACTGGAATGTGAATCGTTCGGAACTGGGCCACAAAAATGATGGGCGAGCGCGCGCACCCATCCCCACTTGCGCGAGCAGCACCCGAGCCATGCACACACTCCATTTGCGCGAGCAGCAGGCGCGCATGCCCGTCACTCACGCAAATGGAGCTGCGCATATGCGCTTGCCCACCCCTCACACGGAACCATCCCTTCTCCTCCTCCCCCCCCGCCGGTCCGCAAAGCAGGAAAGGTTGGGGAACTCTGCTCTTATGTGACCAAAGCCTCACCTTATAGTCAGCTGGAGTGTAATGCATGTAAGAGTGTGAGCCAAGACCCCCAAAGGCGCCAGTGCCTCCTTTGGCTGCATTCACCCAGCTGGCATCTTCTGCAGTGGAATTCAGATGTCCGCTGCACGAGGCAAGACCGGAAGTGCTGATGGTCAGGGTTCTTTCGATGGATCGGAAATAGTTGAGGATTCCCAAACAAATTCTCTGGGATCAACAAATTCTCTGGGATGAGTATGATGATAACAACACCAACCGGCAAAAATACACAGTCTCATTCTTTTATACTGCCCTGTTTCTGTTTTGTTTTTAAAGATTTTTATTACCTGTAATTCTCTGATTCTCAAATGGCGTAAATAAAGGACAGACAAGTATCCACTTTTTCTCATGGAAAGGTCTTTGCTGGGAGCTTCCAAGTCTTCATCTAAACCTAGCAGCTCTGAGGCCGTCAATTCGCTATTTTTTTTCCCAAGAAAGAGAAATTAAATCATATTACTGTAGCTCAGACAGATTTTCTATTATATCTAAATTAAATAATCTCTTTATATTTCCTTCCCAGAAGTAAATTTCCTACTGAATTCACTTACATAGATGCCTCTGTAGCAGAATAATAACTAGAATGGATGGAGTCTGATGCAATCAGATTAAGATAAGGAGAATTTATGAAAAACCATATAAATGCCATTATCATTTATGCTTGGGGAAAGCTTGCAATATCTGAAGATGCCAGCTAGAGTTAAGGAGTAGAAGTCAAGAAATAGCACCTTCGGCTTTTATAATATTTACAGTATACGATATGAAATGTTTCTTCTAACATACAGATAATCCTCAATTTACCACCACAATTGAATCCAGAATTTTGGTTATAAATCATTGCGGTTGTATGTTGGGTCACCACATGATTGGATTCAGTTTTACGGCTGCTTTTTACAAATATTGTTAAATGGGGCACCATGGTCATTAAATGAATTATATGGTTGTAAGTCCAAATCCTGTTTATCCAATGGGTATTTTTTGAAGTTTTTGCCAGAAAATGGCCAAAAGGTTATAAGATGTGACTGTGGGATGTTACAACTGGCCGTAAATGCAAACTGGTTGCCAAGCAGCAGAAATGTGATCTCCTGACTGTGGGGTGTATATATGTGTGTGTGTTAAACGTAACTTTGATGGGTCGTACATTAATTTTTTGAATCCATAACTTAGAATGGTAATTAAGCAGTCATAAGTCCAGGACTATCTGTATCTCTGTCCCATTTTTTCCTAGATCATATCTTTAATCTTACATTTCTCTTCCTACCTGACAAGAACTTGGACCTTTAATATTGTTGAAGAACTAATTGTGGACTTGGATGAAGAAGGAAATTCAAGAATGAATGACTTAGTGAGAAAATAGAACTGTTGTGCATTTTTATCAGAAATAAAAATGGAATCTCTGGATGATCAAAGGAAAAGAGAATTTTCAAAGTGGACAAATCTACCTAAATTCTGTACTCATACATCTATAAAAGGATAATCGGGGAAGAAAAGTAGGTAGAAGCTTAGCTTGAGGCATCTTCTGAGGAAAGAACAGGAACACCATTAGCACTGGCACTGATGATGTTACCTAGTTTGGTAACGAAATGTCTGCAATAAAACCAACAAGCTCAGACAGCACCAAGAACCCCACAGTTCTTTTCCTGAGCTATGAATATTCTCTTATATCAGCATCCCATTATTATCTACAGTATGGAAGTTGATGGCCGACTTCACTGCCTACAGCAAATTCATTTAAATGAGCAATGCAAATAGGTCAGAAAATTGTACTAGGAACATGTGAAAGAGACATATTTATTGATGACTGTCTTTAGTTTATCAGCTTTCAAATACAGGGTCAGATGTTAAATGAAAGAAAGATGAGTCAGACATATTGTTGGATAGCTCAGGTGGTATCAGCCATGTATTTTCTCAATATCAAGCAGTAGCTTCAGAGAGCAATTTTGCAATGACAAGTAAACTTGCAGCTATTTTAAAGTGCTATGTTCATGCCCCAATGCACTTTCAGCCACTTTCCCCAAATTGTTTTAGAACTCTTGCACAACTCTATTATTTATTCATTATAGAAATGTCTAATGGGAAAAGGAAAATCACAAAACTTCCAGATTAGTAAGTGATGCGTTATATACACATTTATCACTTTCTCTTGTTATATATACAGTACTATGCATACAGAATCTGTCTTTGTGTATGTGTGCATGGGTGTGTATAATCTCATCACAATCAAAATAAGCAATAGTTTTTTACCTTCCATGTTTCCTCTTTCCTGAAAAAACAGAACCCTCTTTAAAGTTGACATTTTCCATGCTTTTTTCATCAATTGCCACAATAACATTGTTACTATTGTCATTCGTTTTTTGCCCCTGCAAATTAAATGTTACGGTCACCTTTATTTTTCAATGTTACATAAATCAGAAATTATAAACGCATGGATCTGTAAATCATTTCCCTCAATCATATATTTACACAACATATGATTTAGGAAAGTGACAACAGCCAAAATGCAAATCAAATATTTTTATTACAGTCTTTGACCAGCCTTTACAATAAAAAGGGAGAAAGGGGAAAGGGAAATAATTTAATACAGCCATTAGTTAATTGGGAAGGGAAAAAAGTAACAGGACAATAAAGCAGCATATCTAATTAAAAGTTTTGCACAGTTGTACAGTGTACAGTTGCACACTGCAACCATCACAAATATATGTCAGTTGCCAAGCACCTGAATTTTGATCACGTGATCATGGGGATGCTGCAACGGCCATAAGTGTGAAGAATGGTCGTAACTCACTTTTTTTCAGTGCCATTGTAACTTTAAACAGTCACTAAATGAACTGGCTACTTGATATGTGAGTCTAGGATTAGCATCCCTTAAAAAAATAATAAACATAAAATTTATCTATATGGCCCTTGTATTTAGAAATGATTGGGAAGATCAGAGCATGTCATTGGGTATCATAAAAAGGACAGGGGCAAGAGTTTTGATCTCTCTGGATCCACAAGGACAAAGTCTCTATTAAAAAAATCCCATACTCTGGTTTCTCCTCAGATTATATAAATCTTTTGCCAAAACGCATTTGTATCATTTGCTGCCTAGAAAGAACTGTCAGATAGAGTTTCTATTGTTACCTGATAGAATTCTGGATTGCGATACAGCTTTTCCCAGATTTGACTGTAATGTTTTGAATGGAAAGAAGTCATAAAAGCAGATGCCATTGATGGTGGTTCTAGCATAACTACCGCTTGCTCCTGGAGAGCCTCCATCACATACTCCAGATTGGAAACCTTTAATGCAGGAAAACAAAATGTACAATCCAAAGAACAAAGATCCTGAGGCTAGTATCAGTTTGGCTCGTTGCTTTTAAACAGTGACTACTGCAAAGCATTTTCTTTATAAGTTTCTAGCTCTCCTAGAGGAAAACATGTTTGCAAGTGAAATATCTCTGGTTAAGAAAATGGAAAGAATGATATTCATAAAAACTACAGCACAGAAACTGCAAATATATAATATTACATTCATAATATTTATATGTGATCACTTATTATTAGATTATGTAATATTGTTATTAGTTGCAAAGTCATGTCCGACCCATCGCGACCCCATGGACAATGTTCCTCCAGGCCTTCCTGTCCTCTACCATCTTCTGGAGTCCATTTAAGCTCATGCCAACTGCTTCATTGACTCCATCCAGCCACCTCACTCTCTGTCGTCCCCTTCTTCTATTGCCCTCAATCTTTCCCAGCATCAGGCCCTTCTCCAGTGAGTCCTGCCTTCTCATTAGGTGGCCAAAGTATTTGAGTTTCAACTTCAGGATCTGGCCTTCTAAAGAGCAGTCAGTGTTGATCTCCTCTAGGACTGACCGGTTTGATCGCCTTGCAGTCCAGGGGACTCGCAGGAGTCTTCTCCAGCACCATAGTTCAAAGGCCTCAATTCTTTTGCGCTCATCCTTTCTTATGGTCCAACTTTCACAGCCATAGATTGCAACTGGGAAAACCATGGCCTTGACTATACGTACTTTTGTTGGCAGGGTGATGTCTCTGCTTTTTAGTATGCTATCTAGATTAGCCATAGCTTTCCTCCCCAGGAGCAAGCGTCTTTTAATTTCTTGGCTGCAGTCCCCACCTGTGGTGATCTTGGAGCCCAGGAAGATAAAATCTATCACTACCTCCATTTCTTCCCCATCTATTTGCCAGGAATTGAGAGGGCCAGATGCCATGATCTTGGTTTTTGTAATAATATATTAAAATTATGTACTATTAAAATTCATAATATTTAATATGCCAATCACTATTTGCTTGGGCAGAAATAAGGAAGCTTTTTTTCTGGGAGTTGGGAATGATGTATTAGATATTATATGGAGAATATACCACTGGGACAGAATCTGTGGGGGAAATTCTCTTTTTATTATTTTTCTACCACTGTCTTCTCTTTTTATTTTTGCAACCCCTTCTATTCTACTTCCCCCACCTTCTCCTATCTGAGCAAGTTATCTCCGATAGGAAAGCTGATAGGTTTCTTCCCTGATTGCGTGCAGAGCCTTTTAGAACTAAATTGAAAGGCACTCACTGTTCACCAGTTTCATGTATTAATAATACTGTGTCCAGTTTTGAGAGCTGCATGTCAAAATGAATATTGATAAGATCATTGAACAGAGTGATGGACTCTACAAGAAACAGTTCCAGTAAGGTAAGATCGATTATATTATATTTTTGCTGCAATCTGTGATAAACCTCAGTCATCAGCTATCAGGATTTGTGGAAGTGGGATTTAGCTAACAGATTGGTTGTAAGTGAAAACTAAGGTTATAGGAATGACAAAACAGTGTGCAAATCCAGGGGAATTGTATTATGGGAAATCTGCTAGAAAACGTGGAAAGGAAGTTCCAAGGTTTTCTAGAATGAGCAAGATTTTCCCCCATCAGTCATTTTACATATTAACTTCCCGAAACTTCTGAAATAGTTTGAAGTGAAAGTTTAATGTAATATTACTATGCATATTACAATGAATTTGAGACATGTCACTAATATTCCAAGATGTTACACACCCACCTGTAATTTAAAAAAAGGGTCTGTTTACCTGTAACAAGTTTGACTGAATCTGCAGCTGTTCATCTACCTTTTTCCACTGTTTTACTTTTATTAATAGTTTTTGTTGCCATGGATCGTGTCGAGGCTTAATCTGTCAGACAAGGTGTAGATATTCAAAGTAAAATACAGAAAATTAATTTTACTAATCTAGTGGTTGGTGAGGATTAACAATTTTGTAAGTGTGAAAGAGAATACTGTGCCGATAGAAGGGAACAATGTTGAACAATGGGACCCTTGGTGCTCTCTGCACTTGGTGGTTTTCTTGCAGAGGTTTCATCACCAAACTAGGTAACATTATCAGTGCACTAGTGATGTTACTTAATTTGATAGTGAAACATCTGCAAGAAAATCACCAAGCGCAGATAGCATCAAGCCCCCCCCCCCTCCAGAATACTGTGCAGTCAATGCTGTGGAAGAAAAACACATCTGCCCAGCCCACAATATAACTCTATCTTCGAAGAGCAACCCTAATCACTTATATGTGAAGCATCTTCTAAGTTTTAGTATGTAGAAACATAATATACAAGGTGATGCTCTTGTATGGTTTTCCGCATGCTGCTAGCTATACACATAAGGCACATAATCTGTCTTCCTCAATATATTTAATTTCAATTTCACTCAGGATGATTACATAGCAGTGAGCTATTGAGAATTTGAAAATTCAGAAGTTCAGATAGTTGCTTGTGCAGCTTGAAGTTGGAATTTAGTTTTTTACCTTTATAAAAGAGGTCCAATTTGCTTT